TGACTCACTTTTGATACCCTGCTCGCTGTTCAAGCAAAAAAGAACAAACGTCAGGAAAGAACAACTTTTAGGCTTTATTCCATTCCACAAACTGTTCCCCTATCAAGCATTTGCTGAGAGTGGAGGTCTTCAAGTTCCTAGATAACCTTGTATATGTAAGCAGACTATTATTTACAGTATGTTACACCTTACAAACAGGGTACAACATGTCTGTGAGGTCAGTGTTGTACTGTACAAGGACAGAGGTTTAAGTGACTTACCCAAGACTACACAGAACTAGTGGCAGCCACAGGATTTCCATTAAAAATTGGTGATTCCATAATAGTTGGTTAGTGTTAAATGCTTTTTATGAGTTCCTTTCCCACTAACCCATTAACATGTTATATCATATCAATTTTTTAGGCTAAGTCTTGAGATTCATTTAGGACCCCTCCTCCCCACATCTTCAAGCGGAGGGAAATGGCTGAGTGGGTGACGTGACCTCTTCATTTTCCTCTTTTATCCACTCCATTCCATACCCTGGAGCAAAGCAGTACTGGGAGTTGGAGCAGGTGGAGGAAGAGTGGAGGGCATTACTGCAAACCAGGTTTTAGAGGTCCCTGGAAGGTGTCATTTAGATAACATTTAGATGCAGTAAGATTTCATTTATGAAATTTCTTATCTCTTGTGTTTCTATTAACTAGAGGTTCCTCTCCTATCCAAACACTTAATATGCATCATGCAAAAAGGTTCAAAAAGCTCTTTAGCACTTCACTTTTGTGCCTACCTCAGAGGCTACCAGAAATTTGGTTCTGATCTTAAGGTAACTTATTATACAGTTACAATATAGCAATACTAAAGTGGCATACAGTTATGTAATTTTAATGCTTGCAAACTGTACCATGGACTTCAGATACAATTATTATTTGCAGTGTACATCAGTGCAGAGATGATTCTTATTTCCCACTTTGGCCTGCTTCAAGTTCAAAAGATCAAGACTGCAAGCATCTCACTCCTATTTTCAAAATACTGGTTTCCAATAGTGCTTTCCATGACTTTAGTAGCCAGAAGAGAAGTGACTAGTAACTTGTGACATTCACATTGTATTACAAATTCTTCAAATTGCATTTTAAGAGATGTATCAGGACAGTCCATGGTGCTTTCATTTGTGACTTCAGAGCTTACACTTCCATCTAGTGGAAAAGCATGCAATCATATTATAGCACATTACCGGAAGGAAAGGCTGGTTAGTGCACAAATTTTTTTTCCCTGCAAAATTCTATAGGGAAGTTTTGCTGTCTGTAAGAACTTGTACTGCAGTGTATTAGCTCTGCTAATGCGGAGTGCAGGAACCATACTTCACACCAGGCTGCCCAACTTATTTGGCCCTGCAGACGGATCCAAAACGTGGGGCTTTTTGCATGCCAGACAACCCATCTCTGGTGGCAGAGCAGCAGTTGGAGTGGCTGACATAAGAACTGAAGGGGTGAATGCCACTGCCACTGGCCCCCTTTTCCTTTGCCAATCTGACCTGCAAGTAGTGATCAAAGACCCCAAATTGAGTAGCGGCAGCACTCATCCCCTCACTTCCAGACCTGTGCCAATGGAGACATCACACAAAACCCACACACCACAATTTAATCCCTTGTGGGCTCCTTATTGGATAGCATTGCTTCAGTCAGTTCATTCCTTACTTTATTTTAATAAGACTATATGGAACTTTATTCTCAATTAATTTACTTATTTGTTATAGTTGTCACAAAACTTAAAATTCTTGGGAGACTGCCTGAACGAAGGGTGTAAATTGTTTATTCCTCATCCGAGCAGGATCTGACAATGTAAATCATCCTGTAAGCATGCCCTTCGCTTCCACCCCAGTTTCATCAGTTCTGCAATGGGTGGAAAACAGAGGGCATTAGCCTGACCTTTTTATAGGATGGACTGGGGAGAGGGGGAAGCCAGCAGTGAGGACAGTTGTAAAGTTTCATAATTATTGCATCATGATTGAACTCCACACTACTTATAGCTATCACTAAAGACCAAGTACACGTCAAGCACAGAGACATAGTTTTTCCTCCCCTCCAGCCCTCGTCCCAGCCTGGTTCACATTCTCAGTTGTATTTCTATTACTGTTTATAAGTTATTTGTAGTGCTTCTGCTGCTGCAGAATATAACACCTTTTGTTTCCACCTTCTAAACCATCTTGAAGCTTGGACAAAGAGAGATAATTATATATTCTAGCCTTGGACTTCAGAACAATACAGAGCAAGTGCCTGGCACCAGCTAGCTAATGTGTGTTTGATAAGGCACTGGATGCTTTCAATCTTGTTCTCTAGATAGAAATTGAGATCTCTGAACCCAAATGCAGGAGAATACCCATCGCATCTTCAAAGTGCATCAGTCTTTTCAGGTTGGACACTAAAGGGCAAGACAAACTTGATTAACTGAAAAGTAGATTCAGTTCCATCCAGTAGAGGGCATTGCTAGACTTGTGTCAAACAGAGTAAGTACACACACAGCAGACATGCATGCAGAATGATTAGGTTTAGAGATCTACTTCATGACTTCCAGGCAAAACAGCAGAATTTTAAGTACTATCTCCACCCTTCTCCTAAGGTCTGTCTAATAAATGAATATACAATTAGGCTGATCAATAAATTCAAAAGGTAAGGTTTTGTTCATTTGTGTGACAATCTGATTGCCATTTAAGTTACAAGGTTTTATTTCCAGCTAGTATGGCTAGAAGACCAGATTCAGATGTCTCTGTGTCACATAGGTCTTCATTTTCTAAATCAGAACAAAGGACACCCTTTCCATTTATACAGCGCTAGACATTATAGACCACTTGCCTTCTAACAGCCTTAATGGCCTATGCATACCCAAGTGATCATCCCTTACATAAAAGATGGATTCTTACTTTCATTCCAAAAGTGACAATCTTTTTAATTGGCCAGCATGTGTGTGCTCTCCCCTCTACCATGTTGTTTCTAGTGCCTCATAAAATAGAAGACTTAGCAGTCTTCAATTAAAAAAAAAAAAAAAAATATCAGTAAATGTTGATTTCACCTCTCACACAGACAGATAAAAAAATATTTCCAACATTAATAATCAAAATTTATAGAAAGGGAATGCAAGAAAGTGATGGCTGATGGAGTGTGTGATGAGTGATGAACTGTGCTGACTATAGTTTGGACTGCAACTCCCAGAAACCCCAGGGGACTGAGAACAGAAGAAGAGGAAGTGAACAAAGTGGATGAGGGAGCTACAGGCGAGCAGAGCCAGGACCGATGGCAGCTCTGCCACTCAGTTGGTGGCAGTCTACAGCAGTTTCTAATCCACCTGTTCTTTACTCTTTTACACCTTGCTTATAAGCTGTTCAGGACAAAGACTGCTGTGTACAGGCAACCCCCGCGTAGCACTCTTAATTTATTCCTGAAAAACTAAGCGTTAGGTGAAATGAGCGTTAAGTGAAACCGGAGGGAAGTATTTGATGACCCAAGATGGCAACCACGAATATTATAATGGAACTTGCTGAGTGCTAAGTGAAATCAGGTATCTGTTTCAAATGAGTGTTATAGCAAAACAGCGCTAACGGGAACAGCGTTAAGCAGGGGTTGCCTGTATTTATAGAAAACTTAGTACAACAGACTCTGACATTATGTTCTAGCATAATACAAATACTAGATTGCCATGGCTTCTACAGGTCTTACAGTCTAACCCTTGTACAAGGAGACAAAGGGAATCTGATAGCAAAAGAACACTGAGATTTACTGTTGTGCCAGGTTAGAACTTTATTTCTTTGTTTTCATTTAAATCAAAAATGATCTCTCCCCCTACCCCTTGCTTCCCTATCTGCTGTAGTAAGGTCCAGCATTCATAACACCCCTAGAAACCCGTCAAATTATTACAAGTACCCAAAGACTTAGTTCATGCAGAATTAAGACACTGTTCCTTTGGGGAACTGCTGCAAGTTTTAGCAGAGGTACTTCATAAACACAATTTTTAAGCAGCATTTTATATAAATACAAAGTTATACATGCTATTAGACCAAAACAAAAAGGCTCATGATTTACTATATAAAATTCACTGGACTGGGCCCCACCAGAATCAGTGTTTCAAGCCATGGTGACCACACAGCTCAGCATGTGTGTTTTCCAGATACTCCCCCAAAGGATCCATGTGATAACGAGACAGAGAGAGAGAACTAGGTGCTCTTGTCATGAGTCCTGGGATCCTCTACAAGTTTATATGAGATGCGACTCAGGGCAACCTGGTCCAGCTCCACCTCACAGAGGGCGTGGCCACACTAATCATATACAAGAGGCAGAGGGATTCTGGATGAACTGTCAAGGGCCCTGTTTGGCGATGTCTGCCAGACATTTAAGGCTAGGATGAAATAGGAATTATTGGAAATGGGAAAGAGACAGCTCAACTGTGTAAATGAAGAAAAAGTCCAAAAGTATTCAATGTAGCAGCAGCTCACAATGACTTGAAAAAGAGTTAGCACCAAGGGGGGTTGCCTGCAAATGGGCACTAGCATTTCTTTTATTCAGATAAGCTGCATTAACCTATCCTTGTGGTAGGTTCCCATCAGTATGTTTACCTCATACGGGCCATGTGTTTTATAGTGATGCTCAGTATGAATTTTATCAAGTGTGTTTAATCAATTTCATAGTTGGTTTCTATTACTAAGCACATGCTGCTTTTGGCAACAGTTTACTGATAAACAATGTATTTAATGAGTTTTTCTTGTATGGAATTATAAGATAAGATGAGGGGCTTCCACCCCTACCCGATGCTGACCGGGGAAAAGCTTCATCTTGTACTAAAGGAAGTTGGGGGAAGGAGTATATATAAAATTACTACATAATTGTGGCCTATAAGCTTAGCCCTGATCCTGAAAGACACATACTTAAAATCTACAACCAACACTCCCCAATATTTAATTTTTAAAATAAAGTGGATAGTCTTAAGAGTCTGGGACTATTCTCAGATTTTAAGGTTAGGTTAGCAGTCCTTACCTCCAGAAGTGTAGTTCAAATCCTTCACATTTATCCTTGCATTTTAAGCATGGAGCACCAAATCCTTGTTCATGGCCTAAGCCCATCTGTTTAAAAGTAAAAAGAAAAAGTTGTTATCCAGTCTATAAAATTTACATGTTACATCTAATATCACCATCATTTTCCCCTTGTAATATCTGATGTTGGAGGCACTAAATCAACAAATAAAAGTCTGGATGAATTGAAAAGAGTATAATTTGATTCACAGAATTGAGAATGCAATCATTACAAGCAAGAAATCATAAGTGTTATTTAGTAGATTTCTAGACTGTAGATGTGTACAATTTAAGTTACTTATAGTAAATGATGCAAGCTACAAGCAGGAACCGAATCAAACGTGCGTTAATCTGCATGTTTAATACTCAGGGAGCATGTTTACATGAGACATTTACTGAGCAGTTGACTAATTAACTGTGCAGTAGGTCTGTGTGAAGCGACTAGTATTCACTTTGGATTCAGCTGATTCGGGGGACAGTAATTCAATTTGGTGATTCAAATCACTTTCCCAAATTGATTCTGCCAAATCCGATTTGGAGATTCAGCCACTACCAGATCTCCAAACTGAACAGGCCCCATCTCCTGCCCACTCTCCCAGCCCTGTCAATGGCTGCCCCACCCAGTACCAAAAAGAGCCCTGCACCTCACCAGCTCCTGCCAGGCAGGGGACTGATCCCCGCTGCCCCTCACTGTATGGGGGGGGGGGGGGGGG